ATTTCTTTACAAAACCCCTTCATAGTTGAGTGTGTATGGTAACAATTTTGCACATATGGCTTTTAGTATTGTCTGTCATATATCATATGTAGGAAATGAGTTATTTCTCTGTTTGAACACTACAGGTAACAATTTTATATGTTTAAAAATTGTTTTAAATACATGTATTACCAGCATTAGGATACATAGGTAGTCTAGACAGAAAGTTAAGTATTTCTGGATTATGCAAATATATTTTGATTTACTAATGTTCATAGTCAAAGTACTCATTTTATTTAAGAGGAAACAACGGATTGGATGCTTTTAGTAAAAGAGATGTATGTCATGAATTGGCTAATTTTACCTCCCTGTCATAACATTAATGAATCTTCCTATTTGAAATAGATGTTCAAAATCTCTGACATGTGGACCTAAATCTAGCTGTGATATTATCATTGACTCAGGGCTGGATCACGTTTGATCCTATTGTGTATGGGGTTTCCATGAGGTGCAGCTGACTCACGGATAGCTAACAATAAAAACAATAGTCTTTGAGTAGGGATGGCAATAATTGGAAATTTGGGGAGCACCAACAAGTACATTTTGAAATATAGCAGGGATATTTTCCATTCCTTAACATTCCTGACCTCAGTCTCTATGGGAGTCAAACTATGAGACCCTCACTCTTGTCCTGGGCAATGTGGGACCTTGGATCACCCTGTGATTCCGCTGATGCATTCACTTCAATAGTTCTCTTTCTTACCGACCTTTGACAGGTCTTTTTATATGTTTATGGTCATCTTTTATCGCAGATATTTTATTCCCTCACAGGACACAGTGAATCATAAGATCTTGGTCATAGTTTCTAAAATAATATTTTAAAAAACGATGCTCCTATTGGGAATATGGAACCCCTGGGATACAAACTGCTAATGTAAGAACAATTAGTACTTGGCCATGAACGTTAGGTAAACTTGCCCTCACTTTGAAGCTTTTGAAGCAACCCTGACAGCAAATTATTTGTCACAATCAGCTTTCACTGCAAGTGCAGCTTTTAAACCACTTCAAAGGTCTCGAGCCTTGTCTTGCAGCACTAAAATGAGGCGAAATAAACCCTGGATGCACTTGCTCTGATTTACATACCAGTTTCACTTCAAGACACACTCAGCAATGGACATCATTTGTAATCTGGGGGCTACCTGCCCTTGTATTCTTTTTATCCAATCTCCTCACTGATAATATTTATTATTCAAATTCAAAGACGTTTCCAGTCAGTCACGTTAGTGCACTCTTCCTGTGACTCGCTGGCCAGTGCATGCTAGCTATGCCTTTTAACTGGCTTTGCAATCTCTTGTCCTCTAATGGCTGGGACTCTGAGCAGTTCTTTTCCAGGCCTGCATTTAGGCTTTGAAAGCAAGCTTCTTGGTACCTGTCTGTTTTTTATTCTGCACCCAAGCGCAGTTTGCCCTTTTGCGATGACGTTTTTCAAGACAACGACAGAAGTGCCAGAAATTTTGGGAGGCATTACCCAAGAGCTCAGGCTGGGGGAGGAGCTTTCCCTCTCAGAAGTACTTCAAAACAGATTTCTCCACATGACGTCAGTTTGTAGGATTGGTTCCCTTTCTAAATGACAAGTAATTCTAGGGCGGGTACCTTTTATGAATAATTTCATTCTCAAAACTTAGGAACTATTGGCACATCAAGGCTATTGAGCTAAAAAATAAATAAGAAAAAAAACGAATATTGAGCTATATAACAAGTAATGCACTGCACCTCATCAATAAAATCCTGAAACTTGTGTTTTTTCATCAAGTAGTCCAGAGATTAAAGGAAAATAATACCGTGTGTAAAATAAATAAGAGATTTTGAGTATGAACTGAAACTATATTTTGATTTGTGTCACATTATAAAGTCCTATGCAATTTAAAAAGGAATAGAATATTTGTTGCACTAAAAATAATTAAAGCAACTAGTATTTGTGTGCCAAAGAATGGTTATAATACAAGATCTTATTCTTATTGAGCTATTTTACCATTTAATTATAATCTAAGCTCTTTGATCATAACATCTTGATGAATAAAAATAACTGGGAACATTTTGTTTTCTGACTAGATAATATTTTCTTTAATTTTTTTGAAGAATTCTTTAGACTTAATGAAAGTCTATGATTAAAAATAATCTAATTACTGTTGAAGTCTAATTTTCAATTTGAGTGAAAGGAAATGCAACATTTTTAAGCTCAGCAAAGCCTCCAGCATAACAATAATAACAATTTTTTTCGTCAATAAATTGACAGCAGGTGTACATACTAACTTTGATAATAGTAATGTGGTAACTGATTTGAAAACAAGAACTAATTTCAATTTTCTTGATGTTTTATGTGCTCAAAGAAGCACATTTTTCTCCCAAGTCTGGGATTGACTTTTATGTTAAGATGTCATAGGCTTGTTATTTAAGACAACTTGCAATTAATGCAGTAGACCTTTAACTTCTCTGACATATGATTATCCATCTATCATAAAAATAAAAGCTTATAAAATACTATAAATGGAATTAAGCAATGAAAATATACAATTGCACAACCCCTCTCATTTCTTCTGATTTTAAAACTATTTGACTAACTTATCTACCATTACTAGCTATATTTTAATAATTATATTGACTACATATTTAAATTAATATTTTGATTTATTTTTTCATATTATCCTGATGGGAACAAAATTGGCACAAACTTTGATAGATAAATATGTCAAAATATATTCAAAATTTAAAAATACATATTCTTTTAAGTTCCTATCTTTACCATAAAATATACTCAAAGACGGTCAGTGTTTTGGATTAATATATTTATTGTAGGTTTAAGGGACTTTGCTGGAGTAAGATGCTTCCATTTTACTCCATACAAGGTGATGATAATATATGCATGATATATTTTTTATATCACCACCCAAGCCAAGCTCATTGTTATCCAATGGATTCAGATATGTAAAGTAAAAACCCCCAAACTTCAAAACCAGTGCCAGGGAGTCAATTCTGACTCATAGTGATCCTGTGAGACAAAGTAGAACGACTCTTATTGATTTCTGAGACTGTAAACTTTTATGGGAGTAGAAAGCCTTATCGTCTCCCTTGGAGCAGCTGGTGGTTTTGAACTGCTGACCTTGGAGCTAGCAGCCCAACATGAAACCCACTGTGCAACCAGGGCTCTTATTCATATGTATAGGGACCTCATGTAGGGTTTCAGATACTACAATTCTTTAAGAAATCAGATAGACACATCTTTCTTCTAGGAAGTGACGGGTGAGTTTGAACCACCAACCTTGAGGTCAACAACCCTACATTTCTTCTACAGAGCTTCCTTTCCTCCCAATCCCAAAATCTCTCACCACAGCTTTCTTATTTCAAATGTGCTCATATCAGTCTCCAAACCCAAAACAAAACCTTTTACCATCGAATTCACTCCATCTCATATTTATCTCTGTTGGACAGAGAAGAACTGCTCCACAAGGCTGCAAGTCATTAGAAAAACAGGCTACCATATCTTTCTCCCATAAAGGGGCTGTAAGTGCTGAAGCACAGACTTTTTGTTAAGAGTACAGTGTTTAACCACTATGCTACTTTTGTCTCCCCAGCACCCCCTAAAATGAGTTTTCCATTTCCCCAGACAAATAGTCAAAACTGTTAGCACTGGGACTTGCACCACTTTTTGAAAAAGAAGTAGGCAATATTTCAGAATAAAAGTAATTTTAAGGGGGAAAAAAAAATCTAACATTTTAACTGATCTGGAAAACCCAGAATTTTTTGTATGAATCCACTAGAGACAAGCAGGAACGGGTTTTGGTAAATATAACAGCTGTTTTCCTTGTTTAATTGCCTGTTCTCTTACAGACATCTGAGTTGGAGACCTTTGCCCAAGACCCTTCCTTTTCTCAGGTAAGTTAAAATTGGAATCATCTAGTTTGTACTGCTCCAGGGTTAGTAGTCACATTGCATTTTAGTTTATGTGCAAATCCAATAAATTCTTGGAGGAAAAAGTGAGAGTCGAGGAGTGTCAGGTTTCCCTTGGTGACTGAGATTATTAAAACATACACATACTGCCTAAAGAGTAAAATTTTTAAGAAGCCTAATGGACAAAGGAAGTCAATGAGATCCATTCTTTTTTTATCCAATTTTTAACTTTTCTTTTATGCTTTGAAATTTGCTGAAATAGTAAAAGAGTTACATTTCCATTTCTATTCCTACAGAGCCCCACTAAATTCTGTAAATTTCCTCAGTGTCCCACTTTGGTCTGATGCTATAAAGAGAATATTCTTCTCTTGCTTTTAATTTTTATAATATATGCAAGGGTTATTTTGCATCTAATATATGCAAAAACAAAAAATATTCCATGTAAATGAAAAGGTATTTTTTATTCCATGTAATAAGCATTAAAGGACTAAAATAACTACTTTAGTAAAGTAAAGCTTTAAAGTAACTACTAAGTAACTGACAAAAATAATTTTAGAACTAAAAATATTAATTTTTAATCATGCCTCACACAATCTCATAAGATGTTTACAGACATAGTTCTGTCGACTCTTGGTCAATGTTTAGCTCCATATTTATATCCGTTCACATTGCAATAATAGGTGATGAGATAAATGACTTTCCATCAATTATCTTAGGACTCTCAAAGCCTACAGAGATAGACAATTTGCCTGAACAGCACATTTCTTATACCACCTATGCACATTTCTCACCCCATTACTATACACATTCATCAACATGGTAATATAATAAATTGCATGTACTAGGAAAACCTGAACATTCCCTGGACTCACGTGAGTCCAGCAGGCCTAAAAAGAACCATGGATAGAGTCACATCAGATACTTTTTCATTAGGGATCAAGTGATCTCGTTTGAGGAAGTCAAAAGGAGAAAGAGTTGAAACACACAAACTGTATCTAAAGAAAATAAGTACTATGAGAAAGGAGGGAATAATTTGAGGTTCTAATTGTTCAAGTGTATATTACTAAAATGTTATACCTACCTGGTAGGGGAGATACCATGATCATAAAGGTGGTTTTCCAGGGTGAGGCTTATCCATAGCACTCGGGATGTGCTGGGCCCTGCGATTCCCCCAAATGTGGGCAACTCGCCTGCATAATTTGTGGTAGTGAGGGGCTGCATTTGCGCTCTCCCCTAACCAAAAAAAGTGATAATAATAAAATAAAATCCTCTGAGGACACAAAGGAAGCCCATAAATGAAAAAAACAAACAAACTCCCAGCCATGGAGTCAAGGCTGACTCACAGTGACCCTTGTTGGGTTTCTGAGACTGGAACCATTTACAGGAATAGAAAACCCAGTCTTTCTCCCAGGTACTGCTGGTTGTTTTGAACTGCCAACCACGTGGCTCACAACCCAATGTGTAACCTCTAGATCACCAGGGCTCCCACACTGGTATTCAAAAGATCCGTGGTGCAATGGTTAGGGACTTGTCAACAACCAGAAAGTTGGCAACTCAAACTCTCCAGCAAAACTTTGGAAGGAAGACATTGAAACCTGGTCCTACAAGGATTACACTTCAAACCACTCTCTACTGTGATTGAATCAATTCTGACTTACAAAAACTAGACACAGAGTTTCCAAAATTCTAAATGTTTTCAGGAACAAACAGTTTCATCTTTGTCTATCACAACAGCTGTTGGGTTTGATCTACCAATCGTGTGCTTAGCAGCCCAGGACCTAACCCACAATACCATCGTATAGTCTAGACAATCCTACAGGGCAATTTTATACTGTCTTATATATATATATATATACTGTCTTATAGGGTTTTTGTGAATCAGAATGAATTTGATGATACAAAATAGAAAAACTGGAATCAAACTAATTTGAGGGATATTGTGCACAGCCATTCATTACAGAGAGCCAAGATACATGGGCCTGAGAAGCAAGTGATAGTAACTGAAGCAGTTGGCTTACAAACTTTCAAAGGTAGGGGAAAAAAACTCACAGGATTATAGGGTTAAGGTATAGGTGTTCATTGCAATTGTGAAGCTAAGAATTATATACAGATGCCAGGTTGGCAAGGGGTGGATTGAGTTAGTTAATTGTGCCAGCCTGTCCGATAATCACATGTGGTGCTGGTTGAAAGGCAGAGGGATAAATGGGTGGTGAAGTCTAGCCTTTCTAGTTCTCGGGTCTCTTGTTTTGTGATGGTTGCATCGGGTGCAGCTGCCTTAGCAG